TCTGTCAGAGACTCTTAAACTGACGAGTCAGAGCTGCCACATTCCGGCTTTCATTTATGTCATCGTAGAACATGTACACAGGGAACTGCATTAGGCGAAAGGAGGCACAGTTAGCAAGCGGTGCTTTTAAAGACATACAAGTTAACTGGAGTCATCTCATCCTTGTTCGGTCATGCAGTCCACACGCCTTATCTGGAGTGTCTGCTCGGTTTCAGGCATTGAGGTTGGACCTGGGGCTACAGACACAGGAGGCAGTCACATCCCGGCTGGATCTCGTGGCTTGAGGGCTGGGGGGGGCGCAGACGGGACAGTGGGCAGGTGAGGTCATCGCACAGGGGTTCAGAGGGCCAAAACCGCGACCGGGACAAACCCCTCCCACCCGGGGTGGCTGCGAGGCGCAGCCCGGGGCGGAGATGTGGGCACCCCCGCCACCCCACTCCGCCCCCTTTTGAGCGAGAGGTGTTTCCCCAAGCGCTGGGGTTGTGCTTTGGGGGCCCTGGGCTGCCCGGCTGAACCTGCTGCGGTACCTGTTGGCCTGGTGCGGAGACATGCCGTCCTCGCAGACAGCAGCCGGCATCTTAAACCAAGAGGGCAGATGGGCGATCTAAGAGCAGCAGAGTTTAAAATGCTAATTTGGGGGCACCCCAGGCTCAGAATTTCATGGTTTTGTTCTGTGTGTGTGTGTGTGTGTGTGTGTGTGTGTGTGTTTCAGTCCCATGGAACACAATTATCTCTAATAATGGATGTGAGACCTTGACCTCTCTTTATCTCAACCCACTTTCCGGGAGAACTTGGGTTGGGAATTGCAAAATATCAACAGTTTAAGAGTAAAAATTAGGACTGTATATTGGAACTGAGGGTTGGTTTTTAAGCAAGCTAAAGCGATCACCTTCAAATAAAATCATTCTCTGCTTTGTTAACGCTGCAAGGCACTCTATAACTTACTAGAATTAGAAAAGCATGCACTATGAACAAAGTTTCCTTAACATCAGGCCACGGGAAGATAGGCTCATGAGTCTAAACATAAAATTAGACTTTAGGTATTAGGGGCTTTTTGTTCTTATGCGGTAAAGTGATAACTTGAAGGCTGGTTTTCTCAACAGGCGTCGCTGACACATGGACTGGATACTGCTTTTTCCTGGGGGCCTGTCCTGTGTTTGCAGGACGTTTTGCAGCATCCCTGGCCTGTATCCACTAGATGCCAGTAGCACCCCGCTCCTCTCTAGTCTTGACTGTCAAAAATGTTTCCAGATTGACAAATGTCCCCCAGGGGCAAATTTGCCCCTAGTTGAGAGCCACTGCTTTAAAGTAATGCTATGGCCATCATTTGGCTTTTGGCTCATTTGTACCTAAGCTACTGAAAATGCTCTGTTTTCTGACTTCTCATCAACTTGGAGAGATTCCAATTTAAAGCTTGTCTGAACCCATCAGACCCAAAATGATATTTTTGCAGATATCAGTCCATTGCAAGGTCTTCCGTATGCAGATGTGCAAATCTGTGCTAATAAGAGAAAGGTGCTTTAGGCTGTCTGATTACAAGAGGTATCTATTCTGGGTTGCTAATTATAAAAGTGTTCCTTGCAACCTACTAATAAGAGCTGATGGTCAGAACCCTCTCATCCACACTACTGCTACCTACCACCCAAGACCAAAGCATCCTCATCCCTCATCTGCCTATAACACTGTCCTCATAAAATGGTGCCTATTCCTTGATTTTTAGACCCCAAAGATCCATTTACCACATGGCAATCAGAGTAGTACTTTAAAAAACCCCCACACAGAATTTCAGAATGTATCACATTTCTGTTCAAAATTCTCTAGTACTCAGAAAAGACCTCAAGAAAATCCAGATGTTGGAATTGAAAGAACTTTATACAGCAGTTATTATACATATATTTAAGAACATAAAGTGTGGTCATAAGAATGAACAGATGGAGAATATCAGCAGAGCGGTGAAAATGACAAAAAGTAAACAAATGTCAGTTTTAAAATGGAAAAGTATAATACCTGGAATAAAAAATTCACTGTATAGTCTAAACATCAGAAGAAATCATTAGTGAAATGATCACAACCTCCAGAATACTTCCTGGCACATAGTAGGCTCTCTACAATTATCTGGTGAAGAGTTGTTACAGTGAATCTATCTTCAGGCTCACTGTACTGAAAAATCAAAGATATATTCAGTCAAAGATAATTTTTTTTTTTTGGTGAGTTCTTCGTCTACATTGTAGATTAATCCTGGGATAGCTATTATTAGAGGATTACTGGATTTATCAGCAGGCTCCACACAAGACTTTTAGACTCCATTTATGTTTTCTGGAAACTTTGTGATAAGGAAAGCAAAGAAAATCACTTTGAGTGAGAGGTGTTAACTTATAAAATATTAACTTATCAAAATAACTTATACCCTCCACCATGGGGAATTCTAACAATTTTCTGCAAAAGAAAAGAAGGTGTCAAAATGTTCTTTTATACATAGATGGAGTGTGGGACAATTAAATGATTTGAGGAGCTGCCAGATAAATTTTAGAACCGGAAGATTATCTAATAAGAGACATAGAGCAGAAAATGATTGCTAAGATTTATTATTTTATTATAACATCACCAAAGATCTTATAGTTGATTGCTGGCACATCCAACTGTGTCTATCATCCAAAATGTGATTCAAACTCACACTAATATAAAATTGAATTGTTTGAATTTTTCATCTCGTCATTTGCTTAATGAATAATATACACTAAGAGTTCTGTGGTGAACAAGAAAGATAGTGCTCTTACAGAGCTTCTTGCTCTTTTCTTTTTTAAATCCTCACCTGAGGATATTTTTTCCATTGATCTTTAGAGAGAGAGAGAGTGGAAGGGAGGGGGGGGGGAGAGAGAGATACATCAATGTGAGAGAAGACACATTGACTGGTTACCTCCCACGCGAACCTGACCAGGACCCAGGAATAGAACCTGCCACAGAGATGTGCACCCTTGACCAGAAATTGAACCCGAGACCCTTCAGTCTGTGAGCCGGTGCTCTAACCACTGGGCAACTGGCCAGAGCAAGAGGAGCTTACTGTCTACTGGGGATATGCAAACAAATAAATGAATGAGATAACCCTACTTGGTGAAAAGGCTAAGAAAAAAATGTCATAGAACACAGCTGGGAATGGTAGGATGCAGGATCGTTTAAGTAAATTGTCAGTGAGCTACTTTCTTAGGAGAAAACATTTAGCTGTGGTCTGAGTTGGTAAGAGACGTACGCCAGACAGGGAAGAACAAGCCCAAAGGCTCCTAGAATGTAACAGGCCTAGTACATCTGAGGATTGGTGGGTTGGAACATAGTGAATTGTATGAGATGAAATCAGAGATGTGAGCAATGGCTATAATCACATAAATAATTTGGTTTTATTCCAGTAAGATGTTTTAACCAGAGAAATAACATGAACTTATTTATGATTTAAAAACACCCTTCTTACTAGTATGTGGAGAATTGAATGTAGGAGGTCAAAAGTAGAAGCAAGGAAAAAAAAAAAAGAGTAGAAGCAAGGAGACCTGCTTGGTTTGCTCTTACCCGGGTAAGAGGTGGTGGCAGATCGCCCTGGAACAGTAGTTTTCAGCCAGGGGCGATTTTTCCCTGGGGCACATGTGGCAAAGCCTGAAGACATTTCTAGATGTCGCAATTGGGAACTGGGATGCTACTGGCACCTAATAGGTAGAGGCCAAGAATGGTGCTAAGCACCCAACAATGCATAGGACAGCCCCCCACAATGAAGAATGAAAGATTCGGCCCCAAACTGCAATGGAGCCAATGTTGAAAAACCCTGTTCTAAGCTACTGGTACTTGTAAATGGAATGAGCAGATGAATGTGCTGTTATTTTGGAGGTAAAAGCAAAAGAACTTTTTATAGATTAGATGTGGGAGACAGGAAAAGGCACGATTAGAATGACTCCTAGTCTTTGTGTTTGAGTATCTGGCAAGGCCATGGTGCCATGACTGTGATGAAGAAGACTAGGAGAGTCCTAGCCGGTTTGGCTCAGTGGATAGAGCATCGGCCTGCGGACTAAAGGGTCCCAGGTTTGATTCTGGTCAAGGGCATGTACCTTGGTTGCGGGCGCATACCCAGTGGGGAGTGTGCAGGAGACAGCTGATCGATGTTTCTCTCTCATCAATGTTTCTGACTCTCTATCCTTCTCCCTCCCTCTCTGTAAAAAATCAATAAAATATATTTTTGTAAAAAAGAAGAAGACTAGGAGAATAACATGTCGGGGATGAAAACCAAGAATTCTATTTGGCCATGTGAAGTTTGAGATGCTTCTTAGGTACCAAAAGTAGATGGTGAGTAAGTAGTTGCATATATGTATCTGGACCTCATAGGAAAGGAAACTCATGAAATAAATATAAGGTACATTAGCACCATGAAGGTATTCAAACCATGGGAACAAATTAGAACACCTGTAGGGAGACCATAGCTAGAGTGGAAAAATAGGGCTTATGACATAGAGTTATGCAAAGGCCATAAGGGTAGGAATGGGATTGATAAGGAGTAGATACCGAGACAGGAATAAAACCTGTAACTGGAATCATGGATGTTAACAAAAAAAAAAGTATCACTATTGTATTGAGCCAAATGACATTGCCTGTTACAGAAATATCATTTATCAACCTCATAGAAAGAAAGAATGGCCAGCTGTCAAATAATGCTGAGAGATCAAGAATGAGCCTAGAGAATATGGTGACATGAAGGCTCTTGGTGACTTTGACAAGGGCAGTTGCAGTGGAATAGATGGGATAAAAGTGGAGTTTTCTTGAGATCAAAGAGAAAATTGGTAGTGAGAAATGAGTCAGTCAATTCCTTAGATAAAGAGGGACAGGGTTTAGAAGAATTTCTTTAAACATAGAAAATG